CAGGAGTTTAAAATCATTTTGTAACCAACTTTGAAATGCATTGATTTTTTTTAAAGTAATGTTTTTGAAAACTGAAAATCAGGACTCTTGAAAATGTCTAAGAAAAATCAGTCAATTTGCAAATGTCTTCGCCACGATTCTCCCTCCAGGTTTTTGCTTCCTCCCTTCTCACAAGCACCCCGCTCATGTCTCTGCCTATTGCCCCTAATTCCGGAAGCCAGCACTGGTATATTCAGGTGTGGCAGAGGGTGTCAAGCACACCTGGCATGGCCTCCCCAAGGCAACAGGAGGAAGTGGGGAGGTGCCGTTTCCTAGCCCTGGGGTAGCCCTTTGGTGGGAAGTTAGGTTTCCTAATCAGCTCAGGAGGGTGCAACAGGCAACGAGACAGGTCAATCCTTTCACTTCAGGCTGAATATGAGGCCGGAATTCCCAAGACCTTAACCTTGCACGTTTTGAAGAAAGTGGGGCTTTACATGCGTTCATATCCTCTACTTGGCCTCTTTCTGGCCACCAGACATGCGGTTAGCAAAATGACAAGCAGTCCTGTGATACTCAGGCCCATGGCCACAGGGATTTCTCTCCTGTTTCTGTCACTGAAGCATTCATCCGCTGTAATTGAAGTCAGAGTAACAAGTGTTACAGACTGGCCACAAATGCTGGGAAGTGGCACTGCCACATCTGCCTCAGCTTTGGAGAGAAGGAGACTGAGGGAGAGATGGAGCTGCCGGGGCTCAGACCACAGTGGGTGAAAATGAGAGGGAAAGGGATCTTTCCTTCTCAGATCCTCTCAGAGCCACAGTGGCTCTGACATGTGTAGCACTGGTGATTAGTTAGGGAGCTTATTAAATTGCAGATCTCCAGACACATGCCCAGGAAATTATAATTCAGTGGTCTGAGTTGGGGCCGGTGGGATTCTGATGCTGCTTCCAGGCAGATCCAGCTTTGAGAAAATATGCTAGTTTGGGCTAGAGGGTTGTGATCAGAGTTATGTCTTGATTCTCAACTTAGAGTAATTCCCGGAGCCATATTGTCCAACTCTAGTAATAGTTTGAGACAGAGTCCCACTGTGTCACCCAGGCCAGAATGCAGTGACACAATCTCGGCTCACTGCAACTTCTGCCTCCTGGTTTCAAGTGATTCTCATCCCTCAGCCTCCTGAGTAGCTGGGATTACAGGCATATGCCACCATGCCGGGCTAATTTTTTGTATGTTTAGTAGAGATGGGGTTTTGCTATGTTGGCCAGGCTGGTCTCAAAGTCCTGGCCTCAAGTGATCTGCCTGCCTTGACCTCCCAAAGTACTGGGATTACAGGAGTCAGCCAACACACCTGGCCCTAACTCTGTGTTTCTTAAAGGGGCTGCTCAGATAGCTTGGGGCTGCTAAAACAGCATAATAAACAGCCAAAGGAAAGGACAGCAAAAACCCTAAAACTCAATAAACAAAAAACAATGTATGCAGGCTCCAGGATTTTAGGGAGGAGGGGATTTTAGGAGTCAGGAGTCTACTGTTTGGGATGACCATTATCTTTTACAAGTCTCAGCTTTGACACTTGCTGGATTCCTCTCCAGTTCTTCAAGCCCCTGTTTAAAAATCGCCCATCAGTCAAGACTTCTTTAGTCCACCCTCTCATCAGCAATGCTGTCAATCACAGCTTCCTCTGGGCTCCCATAACCCTCTGCACATGTATCTTTTAAACACCATATGGTATGGTAACCTGCTCCTCTTTTCCCCCTTCTCTTACTCTCTGCTAGAAAATCCTATTTACAGAATGACATGCCTCTTCGCATTTGAGCATCTTTAGTGAAATCTAAAGTGCAAACACTAGGAAGATGGCGTTGAGTTGACAGGGTGACAGTGGGAGAACAAGGGGAACATTTTGGAAGTGGAATTGTTAGGGCTTTGTGACTATTTGTATGAGAGGCTGCTGGAGGGAGAGGAGTTAAGGAGAACTCTGAAGTCTGTTGTTTGGAAAACTATCCAATTAATGATAGTTTTAAGAAAAAAAAATGTAAAGACAAGAGAGCTTTTCTATGCATCCCTGTGAACACTGCTAATAGGAGTCCAGGCACGTCCTGCTGAAAGGTTTTATTTCCCACCTCTGCCACTAAGAGGTTTCCCAGACCTGATCACTTCCTGCTTCACAGAGCTTCTGAAGGGGAAGAAGAGCAAGTGTGTACCTTTTTTTTAGGATCACACGATTACAGAAGTTTTTCAAACCTTCATAATGATTGTAAAAGAAAGAAATAGTTTTCCAACACTAGAAGTTTTGAGAGTGGATGACAAATGGGGGCAACCCCTACTGGCAAATTTTCATATGACTGTGGGACTCCGACAAAGCCTACAGAAACCAGGGGACCCAAGGCAAGCAACGCCCAGTCCTTCCTCTGCCAAATGCCTCCCACTGAGTACCTGCGGAGAGGTTTTCTGCTACACGCATCTGCCATTTCATGATGGAACCCAAAGCAAAATCAGATTCATATTGTAGACATTTAAAAGATGGCTAAACTTCTAGCTAAATCTATTTTTGATAACTGGGAAGGTCTGAGCACATTTTTTAGTTATTATGAGAGGGATGTTTTAGAAATTGAAGTACATGACCCTCCTGGGCATATGTAGAAATCCTCGTAACACTGTTTTCCTGGGAGGGAGAAGAGGGCTGTTCTGGAAAGTCACCCTGGTCGGCTCCTGGCTCTGGCCCAGGGATCTGTTTTCCTCCAGGGCAGTCATCAGGCAAGCTCTGCCTGTGATGGTCAGAACTCAAAGCAGAATTTAGAGGGAAACTAAAACCAACTCTCAGGAAACACTGTTGGGTGCAACAGCTTGTAATTGAGATGAGGGGTTCCAACAGCTTGTAATTGAGAAGAGGGGGTTTCCTTCTATCTTGAATTGCTCCATTTTGCTCTTTTCCCTCTGCAGGTGGGAAAGAAACTATCCTCAAATCTTGATTTTAGACATTACTGATACTGAGGATCTTTAAAGTGTTCTCCAAACATATCTGAATTTACACCCACCAGGACATAAAGGGAAGTCGCAGGTGGTATTTTCTGTTTTGATTGAGCGCATGAGTGTTTAAATGAATGAGAATGTGTGAGAGTCTAAGAGAATGTAATCTGCTGTGGGACAGCTGTGACTGGGTGGGTGCAGGTGCCTGATTCTGAGGTGGCCAGAGGAGCCTGGCCCTGTGAGCTGCATGGAATCATACTGTCCCAGGAAGCTCATGACATGCTGGCTCCTTGGACATCTGCAGACAGAAAACCATTTGGATCTACCCTGGGGACTCTAAAGTGTATGTTTGCAACCCAATCCATCTTTAACTTACCATTTCCAAAGTGGTCATCTTCAAAATCAAAGGCTTGAAGTTGGACATTGGTTGTTTTCAGCTGCAGGTGGGCTGACAGCTGGAGGCTCTGTTCACTCACGCACTTGAAGGAATGCCCGACCGCTGCCTGGAACATCACCACTGCATGCTTCATTCCTTGGTAAATTGTCTCTGAAAAGGTGACATATAGATTTCTTAAGAGTCCTGACAGGCATCCACCGAGCTCCAGCTGTGGCTGGGCTGCCCATGTGCAGCTAAATGGACTTCCTTCCGAGTGGCTTTCTGGGGGTTCTGCCACCTTCTCCCCATGAAAAAACACCCTGGTGCGGTTTGGAGACTTTTTCAGCTGCTCTGTTTGGGGTATAAGGGAGACATCTCACATAAACTGGAATGCGCAAACACTGAAATGAGAACTTTTGAGAATGTGTTCTTTGGTTATTTTAAATCACTGGGGACAGAGTGGGTGGGAACTAGTCAGTACTTGGGGGCTACAGAGAGGTGCCTCCAAAATTTTAGAGGTAAGAGAAGATTGCTTTCTGAAACTTAGAAAGTCACAGAACCCTTAATGAATCAGTGAAGGGACACACAGTCAGCAAATGCAGCACTTGCCTATCGCCAGGCTGAATGTATTAGACGAGCAGGGTCAAGAACTCATTAAGGGTTGGGCACAGTGGCTCTTGCCTGTAATCCCAGCACTTTGGGAGGCCGAGGCGGGCGGATCACCTAAGGTCAGGAGTTCAAGACCAGCCTGACCAACATGGAGAAACCCCGTCTCTACTAAGACTACAAAATTAGCCAGGCGTGGTGGCACATGCCTGTAATCCCAGCTACTTGGGAGGCTGAGGCAGGAGAATCGCTTGAACCCAGGAGGTGGAGGTTGTGGCTGTCTCTTATACACATCTAGATGTGTATAAGAGACAGGCCTTCTAGGTTCAAGCAATTCTTCTGCCTCAAACTCCTGAGTAGCTGGGATTACAGGCGATCGCCATCACGCCCGGCTAATTTTTTTTGTATTTCTAGTAGAGACGGGATTTAGCCATGTTGGCCAGGCTGGTCTTGAACCCTGACTTCAGGTGATCTGCCTGCCTCAGCCTCCCAAAGTGCTAGTATTACAGGCATGAACCCCTGCACCCAGCCTCCCTTGCCTCTTAAGAGATTGCTACTCTATTGCTGGCTAAAATCTGGTCCATACCTAGTGATAACATTAGCTAACTGATGTTAGCACTCACAATATTTATTCTCTATCCTAAACGAGACAGGTCTAAGTGAATTAACATATATGAAAATGAGTTGTCAACTATGCTATCTTACTTACATTTAACAATCATTGGCAAATCTCCCTGAACATATCAATACAATGTAGCTGATATTTTAAGTAGATATTACTCCACATTTTCAATTCTTGGCAAGTTTCTTCGGCATAAATTCCTTAACTGGTAAAATAATGTTTAAGCTAGTCAAAGGATAGAGCTTTGAAAAGGAGAAAACAGACATGAAAACTCTTAGTACAGTACCTGGCACAGGGGGATACAAGAAAATAAAAGTTATTTAACTTTGCAGGGAAACATTTGAGGCCTCTGAGAGACATCTAGTGTGAGCGGGAGCTTTGCTTCTCTGGAAGTGAACACTGTAGGAGTTCTCTGAATTTACCCCACTAGAGTCATTATCCATATAGCAACCAAAGTGAACCTTTATAAATGTAGATCTGAGGTATCATTTTCCTCTCTCCCCTAGACACCCTGGTGGCATCCTTTCACACTTTAGAATAGAGTCCAAAGTCCTGACCGTTGCCTTGCCCACTGGCCCTACATGCTCTGGCCTGGCTGTCTGTCCCTTGACCACATTTGCTGCTTGTTCTCTCTCCAGGCACACTGGCACCCTGCAGGTCCTTGAACACACTAGCCAGCTCACCCCTTAGGGCCTATGCATCTGTTCTTCTGGCCATCTGGAAAGAGCTTCCCTAGGCCCGGATATCCCCAAAGAAGTGAATCTCTCTTCTCAAACTTCACCTCTTCAAAGGGCCTTTCTCCCCTGAGGGCTTCCCTAAAGTATAAGGGATAGACCCACCTAAAATAGCTTTCAATTCCTCTCCACTCCTCCTGCTTGTGTTTGTTCATAGAATTTATCACTACTGGGCCGGGTGCAGTGGCTCACGCCTGTAATCCCAGCACTCTGGGAGGCCGAGGTGCATGGATGACCTGAGGTCAGGTGCTTGAAACCAGCCTGGCCAACGTGGAGAAACCCCGTCTTTACTAAAAATACAAAAATTAGCCAGGTGTGGTGACAGGTGCCTGTAATCCCAGCTACTGAGGAGCCTGAAGCAGGAGAATCGCTTG